AATATGATTTAACTGTAACTCTGACCAAAATAACCAACAGCGATTGGTGTGGAAGAAACAGCCATGGCCTCCTGATAGTTTTACTCCATTGTGGTCATCAACAGAAAAAAAAACCTTATGTTTACCTTTTCTCTACTTTAAACAGGAAATATGGCTCCTTCAATGTTTTTAAATCCTCAAATAAAGAGTGTCCTAGGCTATGGCCCTTACCTGTCCTGAGTCAGAAAAAAGCAGCCCCCGACTGCCCTCCTGCACGGTCATATCCTTCCTCACACAACCCTTTAAAAAGCTTCCATGGAGGCTCTCATTAGGAGGGATATGACAAGTGGGTAAAATGAATTCTTTTCCCCCCAAAGTCCATGTTTCTTGGTTTTAACTAAGCTATAAGTCTTAGTATTTCACTGGCCAAAATCAGAAATATACTTTAAGTAAAATAAAAGCTAGTATAGCCATCCATTCAATTTTTAAAAGGCTGCTCTATACCAAACTAACTCCATGTGCAAATATAGAACTTAATTAAAATAGTAGATTATAAAATATTAACAGCTGCAGCTATTAAAATTACATTAAACTCCCTTGAGCTAGGCCAACATGATATGAGCCCTCCTTTTTTTTCCTCCCCATTTCGTAAAGGACGGATTTTGGTGTGTGAAAGAGCTCTGTTGTTTTTTTATATTGTTTGTTCCAATTCAAAAATCATGATTTTTAATCACATAAAATGCTTTGCCATTAAAATGCCACCTAATGTTGTAACACACTCTATTTGATTACAAAAAAAATTCATGTTTCTTAGGTGTAAATAATATTCTCCTAAGACATGTTTCTCTTTTTTCCACCCACAATTCACTTTCAGATAGCCTCCACTTTTAGCCTTCTCTGATGAGGGTTTTAAAAGAGTTTATTAAAACGAATAAACTATTGGTAATTGAGACAAGTAAAGAGTTTAAAGGAGAAATACAAGTTTCATTTTCCTTGAAGATTAAAATATTTGATCTTTAGTGCAATAAGCCAAGCAAGCACTTTCTACTCTTAAGAGATCCCACCAAAGAACTCATGTTGCCCGGTTCTTCTTGTGGGTTTATGCGTGAACACACATGCACATGAGCACACATACCTATCTGCACACATATTTACACACGTGCACTCACAGACACACAGACACATACATATAGACACTGTATTTTCACACACTGGTTTTTCAAGTCAGGCTATCGCCTGAATGGTGCTGTGTGTATGATGCATCATGTATGTGGCATGTTGTTTCCATGGGCATATGATAGACATGGGCATCAGACTGAAAAAGACTGGGAAGAAATATCCGGGTGTGTCACCATTGTTAATTAATGCTGCATCGCTCCATGTGGCTCTTTCCATCCTTTGCAATGACTGGAATTTTGACATTGAACATGTATCACTTTTAAAAAGTTGGAAACCTCATCATTTCAGGTGAATTATATATACCTGATCAGAAATTCAAATTGTTTTTGGCCCTGAGAACTCCTAAAAGATGTGCAGTTAAGCTGATTTGTTGTGTTTTCAATTGCAATGGAACTTAACTAAAAATATATCTATTCTTGAAAATAATTTTCAAAGTTTTACTCCAAATATATATGTATGCCACCCACAAGCTAATACTACAAAACACAGGGGGCTCTCTCCTTTTTTTCCTGAACATTTGTAAGTAGCAAATGAACTGATATCCCTGGCATAGGTAGGATGGGGGAGTCGGAGAGAGGCACTGCGTTTCTCTTTCCCTACATTTCCATCGATTACTCTGCAAGCCTGAATGTGTCGTGGGGTGCAAGGGGAGGGGAGGGGGAAACTGTCTCCAAAACCAAACGTGCTGCCGTGGAGTCAATGCCATGGAGTCAATGCTGACTCATCTGTTAAGAAGCAGGAAGAAACCTGCTTCTTGTATTGTCTTTTCTTAACCATCAAATACATTGAAGGGAAAAATATTAAAATAGCACAGATTGCACAAAATGTAACGACTCATCCTTGAAGACCTCCTTCTGCAAATAGGAATATGTAGGGAGGCCATGTTTCCAGAGCGGAATTCATTAGCAATTCAGTGTCTTAAAACCTGGAGGAAGAGAGCAATGTGTTCTAACCTGCTTTCTATTCCCCATCTTCTCCCCAAGCTCATGCCCTATGTCATATATTCCAATACTTTATTTTATTAAGTAAACAATTCTATTTTTTTTCCAGAAAGGCAAGCACATTCTTATGGATCACAGAAAAGCAAGACATAGCTAAGAGGGATGTAGAAATAGTTGCAATACTGGAAGCCAGCAGTAAACTGGCTAGTGACAAGAGACACTAGCCCATAAACAGATAGGAAGAGAGCTCAACCTAGGAATGCAGAACAGCCTTCTGAAATGGCACGGTGCCCACAGGCCCTTAGAGACAAAAGAAGCACTAACGGGCATCTGAATTTGTGGCTCCCAAATGTGGCTGATGGCCATTGTCACCCGGAGAGCTTCATAAAAATATAGAATCCTACCCCCAGTTGATGTGGATTCCGCTTCATTCCTTCTGGATACGTCCGTGTCCTATTTACCCTTTGACAAGAGAAGGAACTCAGGCCCACGGAAAACACTCAACACTGTTGTGTCGAGGAAATCCCAGAGTGGACAGCAGAGATTTAAGGAGACAAGAGAATGGCGGGAGGAGGAGCCAGACAAGGGCTAAATTCAGTTGTCTTCAGTTATCAGACAATAAACTGCTTTATAAATTAGAGGGATAATCAGAACATGAACTTACAGGGTGATGATAAAAGATATGTATGCTTTTAAAGTCCTTGAAGTCTATGGGACACATCCCGACACATGTGCCAAAGGAGAATTCGATTTTTAACAGTTGGTTTCTCAAAAGTAGACCTCCTGGTGCGCTTTTTTTGTGGAAACTCTGGCTGGATTTAAACCTTAGGAGCTGAGCACATAAACTGTTAGCATGACCCAGGGACTCCAAAAAATATTCTCAAAACCATATTCTCTGCCATCAAGTTGATTCCGATGTGGCGACCCTATAGGACAGGGTAAAACTGTCTCAGACTGAGACTCAATCGGAGTAGAAAGCTTTGTCTTTGTCCTGCAGATTGGCTGACCTTGCAGTGCGCTGCCCAATGCGTAATCACTATTCCAGGTAGCTATCCTTTGAAAACAGATGAATCTTCTCTCTTTCAGACTCTCACTTTCAGTCTCTTGCTCATCACTTACTCTGTCCTGCTCACTATTCGGTCTACTCTCTGCAGGATATTTTACCAAGAAAGTAAAGCCTACCCAACCCTTAAAGTTCTCTCAAATTTCAGAGTAAAAGTTCTTTCTTTAATGAAAATTTCCTTGCCTGTCTCAAGTACCTCAGAAAAAAAGTACAGCGAAAAGAAGCAGGGCGATGAATACCTTGCTGGTGTGGGATTCCATGCAGCTTTCAGCAGAAAGGGAAATGATTTGGAAGATAGCGGTGATTTGCCTGTTTCCTTGAAATGCTACTGTGTTGCTAAAAGTGTTTTCTATGCCATATATCTACTGTGGATAAAGTGTGTAGTATTAAAGATTTTATATGTGGCTCATTCTCTCAGTGAATCTACTTGTATATATGTTTGCATGTGTGTACATATGTGCATATATAGATTGTGTTTATATATATATATATATATATATATATATATGAATGGAATTGAAAGATAATGCAATCTTTCCAGAAACATTTTGAAATTTCCTCATGTGTTCACACACATGTGATAATGAATATTTACTGTATAATTAAGTGCCAAATCTTGCAAGAAAACTTTTTTTTAATTTTGCATATGAAAAAATTCAGGATGTTGGAGGGAAGGTGAAAAAAATGAGGAGCTGATAATAAGAGCTTAAGTAGAAAGAAAATGTTTTGAAAATGATGATGGCAACACGTGTACAAATGTGCTTGATACAATGGATGGATATATGGACTGTGATCAGAGTTGTATGAGCCCCCAATAAAATGAATTTTAAAAATTCAGGATATTTTAAAACTTCAAATGACAGTTGTATTATAATTAATATAAAATGTGGTATTATTGCTGTTAGATATCATCAAGCATGTTCTGACTCAGAATGGCACTATGTGTAGCAGAATAAAATGCTGCCCACCCGCTGCCATCACCACGATCATTTCTGTAGTTGAGGCCCTGGCTGCTCAACTCTCTCAATCCATCTCACGGAGGGTCTCGGCCTCTCTCCACCTTATCAACAAAATGAATATATGGTATTTGCTCCTTATGGCATTTCTAAATATTCAATAGAAAAAGAGATCATTGGAAATAGAAAAATTCAAAAACCTGAATTATGTCATTTACAAAATCAAGAAAAAATTTCAGGTAAGATCTGTGCTTGACTATCCAGGATGTATTCATTTAAGAAACGGCTCTGCGATTACAAGGATCTACATGTGACCTCCGCCCTGGGGGACGGACAACAGAAAAGTGGGTGAAGGGAGCCATCGGACAAGGCAAGATATGACAAAATAATAATTTATAAATTATCAAGGATTCATGAGGGAGGGGGGAGGGGGGAGAGAGGGGAAAAATGAGGAGCTGATGCCCGGGGCTTAAGTAGAGAACACATGTTTTGAGAATTATGAGGGCAATGAATGTACAAGTGTGCTTTACACAATTGATGTGTGTATGGATTGAGATAAGACTTGTATGAGCCCCTAATAAAACAATTAAAAAAGGAAAAGAAATATTGATAATATAGAACAATTAAAGCAATGCATGAAAAAGAAACGGTCCTGGAAGTCAATTGATCATTTGGGGTTTGATGCCCAACTCTGATGGTTACTGAGCTCCTTTTGATAGTTTACATGGTATGAAACAGAAGCCAAAGTACTCATGGGAAATGTCCTATACCCTGAAGACAGGAGTGCAGGAGATATTTTGTATGTCTTAATTTAATATCTTAGAAATGATGGCTAGATGCTTCAGGGGTAAAATAGCAGAAAGGAAATAAAAGATAAATTACCTGACCGTCCGTCCCTTTGGAAATCCACGTGATACCATTCTCCATCATTCACTTTCTTCTGCAGGGCTTTTATCTTGATGGTACCCGACCCCATGTCCAGGAGGAGGTAGAGGTGGCCATCCAGCATCTCAATTGCAAAGAAGTCGACTTTTATCATCTGGGGGTGTTTGGCATCTTTTTGATGTCTTGGCTTGCCATGACTAAATAAGATGAGGCCATTTGGCTCCGTGGTACGGAAATCGAATGATATGGAGCCGGTCTTCTTTGCATTCCACTTAGGCAAAGAGATGAAAGATTCAGGGGTTTCAAAGGTGATTGGGTCCAAAGTTGCAACATTCTCACATTTGAATGCCACCACTCCGTGGATCTTCATTTTAGGGTCTCCTTGTTTGGCAAGTCGCGATAATTCCAGTCTTACGTCATTATTTTTATATACAACCTGTGGGCAGAAGACAGCAGTAAGAAACCAGGGCCCCATCTTCATGTCTGAAAGTTGCCATCCGTTCGTGTGACTTGCAAATTGATCATGAAAAATTGGTTACCAAACTCATTCAGGTATATAAAGACAGCATTTTCAGCCAAATAAAATTTGACTAGCAACTGATTAAACAGTAATCATATCAATTTACCGTACATACTCGTGTATAAGCCCAGTTTTTCAGCACATTTTTAGTGCAGTTTTTGTGTAAAATTCGGAGCCTTGGCTGATATTCGGTCAGCTTATGTGTGAGTATATACGTAACTTCATTGGAATAATGTGTGCTCACATACACACACGTAGTTAACTCAAATAATTTGAATAAATATGCATAACATGTTTATTAGAGTATCTTAATTACCATGCAAAGACTTGAGCTTATAAAAGTCATTTTGCTTTTGTCGGAGCCTTTATTTTATTGATTAAATAAAAATATAGCGATTTTTCAATTTTCCCATCACAATTACAAAGTACTTGCAATTGGATAGTTTTATATACTATTCCTTTAAAATGTGCCCCCCTCTTCACATATAGACATGGAAATTGACAGTATGTAAAAATGGAGGACGATGAAATAAGATCACAAAGTAGTTGATGAGCACCTCATTACATAATGACACCGTTATATAACTTCCATCTACATCAGTACATAAAAGCAAAACCACTAAGAATCACTGCCCAACCAAGTTGAGGCATCACCTTAACCAATACAGCCAGTGATACCCTCACCTTGTACCTTGGTGTTTGTCACTGGATGACTTATATCTTTAACACACAATAGAGTTTGACAGTAGATTTTTCACTCTTGTTGTAAATGCAAAATGTAAAATAACCAGGTAGCTGATCAGTGAGTAGTGAGTACATAAAACGTGTTCTATAACCTGTACCCCCAAAGTGTTATTAACTTTGTAAGATAATCACGAGTCAGGAAACATCCTGAATTGTCTCAAAAACTAATAAACAACTCACTGGCCATGTGTTTTCTCTTGCTCTGCTCGGCATGGGTAGTGGCCAGCATGTGGTGTTGGCTTGGAACCCATTCAACTTGTGCGACTGGACTTCCTTTTAGTTTTTAATTTACACCTAAAGCAAGCAATGTTTGTCCTGCGTGTTCATTTTTCAAGGCATTTTATCTAACATGGCTATGAGGTTTCTCATCACTTGTCGGTGGTTTTAGGGCATGTTGTGCTCCAAATAGCACATTAGGTAAGTCCAATTGCTGAGTTCACAATACCATCTGTCTGTCATCATAACAAGTAAACACATCTCTAGGTGTTCTGGCATAGGGATAAAGAGAGAACCATGCCCTTTTCCTAGAAAATACATCTCTGTAAAACTCACTGCTATCGAGCCGATTCCCAAAATGCCTGCTGTGGGTAATTACATCTCTAAAAGATATAGGCCATACTGGTTTTAGGATGAATTAGCTGTCTAGGCCCACATACATTTGGTCAAAATGATATTCAAAATTCTACATCCGCCAACATTGCCAGATTGTTAAATTCATTGATCTGCATGCACAAATATATTTATATAAGAGAAAAAATGAAAACAGAGCTCGTGCCTGACTGATGCTACAAAGTCAACAAGCCAGCACAGCGCTTACTTCTGTATTTCTGTGGCCAATTGAGTGAACAGCTAGCGTGGCTGATGAGCTTCCTGATACGATTTGTTAATAGATGCTTCTGATTTCCAGAATGGTGAAGCATCAAAGCTCTGGAATTTGACACTCTGAGTCACAATCCTAATCTATTATTACCTTTAGATTTCTCTAAGCTTTGTTTTTACTCCGCCACAGGTAAATAATAATAATAATAGCACTAGCCTCACAGGATTATTATAATTAAATCTTTAAAATCTACACCAGTGAGACAATCTTGATAATGGCAATCAATCCAATTCTAAGAATATGGTAAGGTTTTTAATAAATGCCGATTTTTAGTATAATCATCACCACCTATATTATCATGTAATTGACATAGAAATCTTAGTTCTAAATCCACTGTAGGATTTATATTCAGAAATGGAGCCACTCACAAATAAAATTGCCATTTCATGCTTCATATGTGTCAGTTAAATAAGTCCAGTTCTAGGTCTGGTGTTGTGATAGGTTTATTGTGCCAACCTGGTCAATGAACACATGTAGGATTAATTGAAGGGCAGTTTAATTGAAGAGTGGAGAGATAAATGGCTCAGTGAGTCTCGCTTTTCAGTCTCTGGCTCTCAGATGGTCAGAACAGTGTGCGGCTGCTTTAGCCAGTTCCCTGCTTCATCTGGCAAGGCTCACTTCCTGCAAGAAATCCCTGAGGAGAAACCACGTGGACCTACCCTGATGCAGCCCTGGGTGCTGGAGTAGCCATGTGGAGACCCCTGCCAGTGCTGAGGTGTTTACACGTTCACTGACTCGGCTTTCTTCCTGCAGTCGGCATCATTGCATGTGTTTTGTGAGTTTGGGCAGGATTTTGTACATCGGTGTCAGATATATGGGCTAATGGCAGACTTATGGGCTTGGACTGGACTGGGTTAGGATGCTTTCTTAATGTACAATTACCCTTTATATAAAGCTCTCTTATACACATGAGTTTCTGTGGATTTGTTTCTCTAGTCTATCCAGACTAACAGTGGTCTTTCAGTTTACCTTTATCTTGAAGAAGGATCATTATAAAGAACATGGTCTTCCTTATTCTTTGAACAAATAAATATTATGGTTTCATGAACATCTACTGACAACAAAAGAAGAGAAAATGAACTTAAGCATTAACAAAAAAGGAATTAGATTAATTCTTAAGAAAACTTTCTTGAAAGGAGAAAGAGCTATGACACCCCAGGAGAGTTTATTTTGTCGTGCCTTTCTTTGAGAACTTCAGAAGTGGGGGGAGGTGCTTTTTCATGGCTGATTCTGCAAGTTGATAGCCTCTCACCATTACTTTCATGCTGCCCAAGCATGCACTTAAAAAAAAAATGTTACTTTTATTTGTGATTAATTTTTAATACTTGGAAATTCTTTAGCTATAGAGATTGATCCAGAATGAGTATTTTCTGATGCAAGTTTTGCAGATTGTTTTTGCTAATCAATGTTATTATAGTTCCTGTGTAATGGAACCACAATACATTTGAGTGCTTCTGATATGTGTAACTGCGGTAGCAGGCCGGCTGTCGTGCTACGTGAATCTCAGAGCAGACACTGAACACTTCAGTTCTGTGTGGTAGCACACATTTAATGAGATGTACAATCTCTGAAGTTAATTTGTTGCTTTGGGGAAGTGCCTGGATTGAGAAAAACGAACAAACGAGAGAGCTAAATGTGGACGGGGGAATGTCAAAGAGGTGATGTCATATGTCGGCTATATCCCCTCAAAAGAGAAGGCATTTCTACTAGAACCTATGCTTTCTGCTGACAGGAACTGTGCTCACTGTTCCCAGCATCCAGATCTGTGGCTATCACAGGGGAGAAACCCAGTAAATCGTTGTTGACAGTTGACATGTTTTACTTTTTAAAGTCTAGTGTCGACATCAGAGACTATTATTAATAAAGGAAAATACTTAGAAACATAGTTGAAATGCAGCAGAGTGTGGCATCTTGGCCCAATCTGATAACCTAGAAACATACTTTGGGGTGCTTGTTTCTAAAGGCAAACATGGGAACTTCTGTGACCATCCAATATATAAATCGCAAGCCAGCCTACATATTGGAAACCCTCATCTTCAAACTCATCTTCTAGGGGGGCAGTTGCTGGTAGAGCGAAAAACGCCTGAGTGCAAACCCTTCAGAGATGGAATCAGTTTCCTAGAAGCACATTCTTGAGGAGAAGCACAGCCTCCTTTACTCCCCTCGTTTTGCATTCTTTGAGAGGCTGCTCTCAAAGACAGAAAAGCAATTTCGGACAGGCTGGTTGATAGCTCTCAGATTTACACGACTGCTTCATCTGACCCACATTTCATAATTATCCTCCTTTTCTAAAGTTAGACTTTAAAATGACCCGAATGTGCTTTAATTAGAATATGGAGTAGCTAGTAAGGACTCTAAAAATCGATGTGTAAGCTATTTTTTGCGGTTTTTCCTGAAATAATGTGGCATTCAATAATGGACTTACTTTATAGTTATTCATATGTTTTCTTATTATTTATATTGAAATCTATAATTTACTTAATATTTTCAACTTTCCATGTACCCTATCAGCTCTAAGCCTTGGGTGATGGGATTGGGTACTCACTGGGATCTTCAAGAATTTAAGTTTCTTTGGGGATATTGTTTTGTTCTGAAGGGCAATTCAAAATGTTGAGATGCATTTCCTTGCTTCATGGGCTCTTGTCATTAATACAAGAGGGATAGAACCTCTTAAAGAGATTTTACAATGTTTTAAGCTTCCATATAATTTCAGCCCATTGCTATTCCGGTCTTTGTTCTTGATCAGTTGTAAGTATTTTGTGACTCTCCACTACTTAAACTTGCGAGAATACACAGTCATCTGTCTTATGCTTATACACCTAGGCTTGAAATTTGAGGTTAGATGGAAAAAGAAATGGCATATTTTTCCTTCTCTTCCTCTGAGTCTTCCAGTTTGGGGTCTTGGTGCTAAGACATTCTTCCTCTTTCTGATCCATTAGCAAAGAGAATGTCCACCTGCTTTTAAGTGCACACACGTGCCGCAAGGATCCCCTATCTAAGGTTTGTGCAGATGGTATTGAAGCCCTGGTGACCGATGAGAGGCTCTTTCCCAAGGTGCAGGAGGGAGTGAAAGGACTAAATCAGTGGAAACGTAATTGCCACTCAGAGCATGATTAGCCCTTTGTCTTAAATAAACACACACCTATATGCTAACAACATTTTCAGTGAGATTCTTCGGTTAATTCACATGCATTGTTGAGGCTTTACATACATAAGCTAGGATAGTATCGGGTTGCTGACACTTACGCTGAAGTTACAGTTAAAGATGACAAGTCAATATTCCTCTGGTTCC